GTGTGTGTGTGTGTGTATATATATATATATATATACACACACACACACACACACACTAGTAATACATAGTACAGAAGTCATTTTAAATAAGATAAAATGATAAAATGCAAATTCAGTTACAGGCATTTGTCGCCTTTTTGCTTTAGTGCTTTTGTAAACTATGTGTCAGTCAAAGTTTACGTAAGTCAAGGGCTCCCTGTATTAGCAGGTGTGAGAGGGGCTTCTTTGTAATCTTTAATGCTACGATAATTTTTTGGTCCTGGAAGAGATGTCAGGTACCTTTCCCTTCATTCTCCTGACTGCGTCAGAGAGGTGGAGTTACAGGACCTCGCTTAATAACGGGACGAGCTTAAAACGCCGCTAGACACGCAATGCTCATATCGGTTATGTGTGACTGCTATGCCTCAACACTAGGGGGCAGTCAGAACCCGAATAATGTAACATTCCGGTAGATAAATATAATTTCATAAATCACAAACTCACACAACAATGAGCCTTCTCCGTAATGCTGCATGTAATTCTACTTAATTACCATTCAGTAAGTAGTTATTTAAATAAGAATAGGCCCTGCAACACTGTCTAATTTGTTGTTTTGATTATAATTCTGAGGGCGTAAGGCGAATAGTGTTGCTTTATCTCCATGGTTAAGAGGCTTATTAAAGCTGAGTGGATTTACACTGTGCCCCTATTTGTTGGCAAAGCAGCGCCGATACATAAATTTACCAGTACATTTTTACTCAAGTGCAGATATAATTGATTGTTTTCACCTCCCAGGTTCGCTACTATCGCATTATAAAGTGGCATGCAAATATGCATCATAACCTTTCTTCATTAAACAGTACAACAAAAGTAAATTTGATGCTGAATGCACAAACAAAGAAGCGAATTGCTTTCAGTTTGTACAAATGAATTCGGTGCCGGTTAATTGATGCTGAGGAATGCGTTCAGCCGCGTGACCTGCCTTATGCGGCTGCGCTGAAGGGCCGCGAGGTGTGAGCGCGTGCGCTGTCCGCTTAGGAACCAGCCAGTCTAAACCCTAGGGTGGCAGACGGGGGTCTCTGGGGAGGGGGCTGGAGTTAAAAAATTCGATCCTTATTTATTTCTGCAGTTATAATAATAACAATATTATTATCACTATTATTAAGATATAATAATATAGTATATATATAATATACATTATTATTGTTGCTAATAACAATAATAATAATTAGTATTGCCTTGAACTTTGGGTCCCTCTGTTTTGCTGGACCTGGGTAGCATGGATATGAGGTAAGTTTACTTATTGTCCTATTTTTTTTCTTTCTTGAGTTATTAAAAGCTGATCAGTGTAATCTCATGAAGGAATGAAACATGACACTTGGATGTTCAAGGAAAACAAGACTCCGATGATGCTATATGTCACTTTACTTGGAATACACTGGGAAGTGTTACGGCACCGTCAGCCTGTGTTATGCTGTTGAGGATGGCAGTGTGTACAGGTAGGCTGCAATCTGAGGGAAACTCCAAGCTTTTTCACTTTTATGCTGCTGTTTCTGTTTCTGTACCTCATCTTGGGGCTCTCAACTCCCCAAGCTGGACTGGTTTAACCCTGATGGCTTTGTGGTGCCTGAGGCAGAATTTTCCTGACAACAGTACCCTGTCGCGCTCAGAAAGAACAGCCGAAATGCCCAAATGGACGATGCACTGGTTATGGTTAGCATTAGCATCCCCACAGTGGCCCCTGCCTGTCAGTGTTTTGTATATGGAAGCAGAATCTATTCTTTACAGAACACAGAGTCTTTCCTGTGTGCAACTCGACCCCCCCCCCCTTTCTGGTACCCTTCAGCTGCCCAGTGTTTCATTTTGCATTCCCAACCACAAGTGTGACACAGGTGATGCAGGTGGCTCTTTGGCGCCCTCTAGGTGAGTGTGTTTTAAATGCAGTGTGTCCCTAAAACTTTAATGGGCAGCAGAGTGCAGCTCGTGTTTTGTATTATGAGCCCTAATTTACAGTCCCCTGACCTGCTTCTTTGGGTATTTACTTGTGAACACTCACATATTGTATGTGTGACAGACACTTTTACTAAAACTGCTGGCCTCCATCCCAGTTGTTTATTTGCTTTTGAAAGGGTTTGGAAAGAGGTGAAAATTGTTCATGGATATTGGTTGCTTGCATCTTGGATCTGTTAGGTTTGGTCCAGGCTGTTATCTATAATAGGAGAGAAAGACAGGGCAAATTAAAGCATTTGAACTGTATGTCATCTTTCCGGTTGTACTAGCTGTCATTTTTTAGCTTTAAATCATGATTAATTAGCCTTTTTCAGTGGTGTATTTGGTGATCGGAACTTTAGAATATTCTAGAAGGTTTGACTGCATCATGGGAACTTGTAAATATGTTTAAAACGATAATTACAGTATATTATTTGTAAAACTGCTCTTGCATGCATTTTAATTCATTATTTGGAAATTTAAAACTCACTTCTGTTTTCGGTGCTCTTTTAAATTATGCGTTCAGCAGAATGGTCATGTGACCGTTCTTGGTTTGGACACATGATTGCTCGCCGTGACCAGCGCCTTCTCACCTGTCCAGCCCCGTCTAGCCCAGATGATTGTGCTGATGTTTCTCAAAGCTTGCCGCGTTATTGGATCTGCTCCCTGCAGAGATCACAACGCTGACTGAAGACATCATCAAAACACCACAGATGGAGAAGCTAGCTGCGTGCGGTCCGTGCTGCCTTACCCGTGTAATCCTTGTAGTCTCTGAAGTGCTTGGGTCTCGGGCTGCGGCCATCTGCATGGGATACAGGGACATGATTGGTCGGTCGAATGAGTGGAGGCTGATTGGTTGGTGACGTGATCGGCAGGGTTAATGTGAGAGGCTGGCTGACCGGAACTGCCGCGCTGCTTGATGCACTGGCCGCGGTTGGGGATGCCGGCTGCCGGTACTCCCGGGTGGATGATGTGGCACTCGTAGCCCGTGGGGCATTGCAAGGGCTCGTCGCCATCTTCTGTGGTGCTGCATGCTTCCGCTGGGTGTAACACACACACACACACACACACAGCCATGCAGCCATCATTAGCCCAAATGAGTGTGAACGTATGACATTTGCACTGTAATGTTACTTTGCACTGCCTGCTCTCTATATGCAGTCTTTCACCTACTGTTTACTAGTATTATTGCACTGAATCATTAATCATTGTTGTGTAGTGTTTTTTTTATCCAGTATTTATTTTTCAGTGTTTATTGTTCAGCTGTTCATCGTTTTCACTGTCTGAAGCTCTGCAGAATCACAATTTCACTTTATGTGTGTGAAATGAGAATATAAGAGACTTGACACAAGCTGGGGCCAGAATGGTTCCTGTTTCCCCATTAAATCCAATGATCCGGTCTGTAAGAAGCACCTTATACCTAATAAGGCTTCTGTTTCTATCAGGATTCCTATCTGTCTCAAGCTGAACATATGTTTATTATTATTATTATTGTTATTATTATTATTATTATTATTATTATTATTATTATTATTATTATCATCAGAGTTGGGTATTCAGGTCCATAGAGTGAAAGTACAGACCGGGATTTTGTTTCAACCAACCAGTTGAATACTCTGCGACTGTGACTCTTTATGCTCAACTGGTTGGTTGAAAGTGCTCTGATTATTATTATTATTATTTAAGGAGTTGCCCTGTTTTGGTGATATCATGTCGTACCCTCACCCTGGAGCACTTCCTCCGGTCCGTCCAGCAGCCAGCCGTTGCCCCCTAGCCACCGGGGTTTGGGCTGAACCAGCCAGTCCAGCACTAAGCAGAACACACAGGCAGATTGATACAGAAAGTGTGACCTTTGGCACATGCGACTGCAAGGTCAAGATTCTGTGCAAGTGCTGTGCTGTGGTGGTAATATTATGCCTATTTCTATACATGTGCAGTGTAACTACAGTTCTGAAAAAAAAGAGACCACTGTATATTTTTAAGAATCTCCATTGTTAAATCTTGGTTAAATCCTGGTTCTGCTGGCAGAAGTCTACACTGAGCAGCAGGTGGCTTTCAGGCTCATAGTTTCTAAGACAGCAGGACACAAGACCAAAATGAAGGTCACTGTCCTAGCAGTGCAGGTGTGAAGTGCACTGCTAGGACAGTTTGTGTCAGGCTCCTAGAAGCAGAATTGAAGTCCCATAAAGCAGGGAAGAAGCTCTTTATTAATGAGAAACACAGAAGAACCAGGCTGGAGTTAAAAAATGAAAGAAAAAAAAATGTTTCACACAGGTGCAGAAGCAAAAACCGAAAAATGAGTGAAACTAAAAATGTTGCTGTGGTCTCTTCATTTTTTCCAGAGCTGTTTTTCCTGCGTTTGTTTCTTAAGCTCAGAAGCCCCAAAGCCTTGTCTTCCTCCTTAGCCAGCCAGCCAGCTTCCTCTCCTTGTCATCGCTGGCACGTTCTTCCCTCTGTCCACATTGGGGGGGGGGGGGGGGCTGTAAGGTTAATTGAGTGCACAGCGTTCTCCTCCCAGTTTGTTATGCCGTTGATGCCTGGAGAGTGACCGTGACGAGTGGCCGGTGACTTCCAGCACACTCACATGGAGAGGCCGTGCAAATGACCCTTCCTAATAAGTATGGAAGCTCACCATAATTAGTTTAACTGTCATACCCTCAGGCCGCAAGGCTCCTCAGCCGCCGATCAGGCTATTAGTGTGGATCATTTGCATGATTTGCACATTGCAGTTTTTTCTTCTTTATTCTATTTTATTCTTTTTTTAATTTTGCTTATTTATCCTTTAAATTATTACTTTACTACAGGGAGTTCTCAGGGAAACCCCTTTCATTGCCTGCATGACTGCTGTATGCTGTACTGGTGTACATTAGATAAATAAGCTTTGATTGACTGAAGATGGGTAATAAATGCTGTTATATGTGCTGTGATTAAGAACTGTTTTATAGGTGAGGAGCATTTTGGGTGGTTGATTCCCATGGTAATGAGCAGGTTTGTTTAATTTTTCAGGGCCTGTGTCTGGCGTTCTCAGGGTGACCCTGACTGATGTGGTCATGTGACACTCACCCGGCGGGGGCTGCACGGACTCCAGGCAGGCGTAGATGCAGCCATTGTAGCAGCAGCGCTTGTGCCTCTCACACTCAGAGTCAGAGCGGCAGCTGGGAACCTCGCAGGCACGTTCCGGCAGCTTCTGTGGGGGTGGTGGGCACCGGTCGCTCTTCTGGTGCTGGGTCAGTGGGGATTGGTTCAGGTACTCGTAGTCCTGATGGGCAGGGGGCGAAATATGCAGGGCAGCAGATTA